CCTCCTTTCACTCCGCCCTCCATCTCGTTTGTGTCCAGTCCACTGGTTTTTCACCAGGCCGGCACATCACACGGCTCCCGGGGAGACAGGCGCACCAAGGTCTACGTGCAGGGTCCCCTTGGAGTTGTGCCGGGGGCAACGTGTACAGCCGTACGTAGCACTGATTTTTTTGTTTTGTGGATTGTACTTTGTGTATCTTGCGTAAGAAACCCCCACAAAACAAGATCACAATGGCATTTTCCTTGTATTATTTTTATAATCAAAAATGAAAAACAGGATGGTGTTGTATTGTAAAGAAGCCATAAAAGAGAGGGGTTTATGTGCCCCCAAAATGCAGATTTTAAAGTCAAAAAGGATGACTTTAGAAGAAACCATTATATTAGATTTTATGACTTTGACTACAATGTTATCTTTCTAATTATGTTCTGGATAGGCAAATACTCAAATTTGCGTTTCAAAGAGCATGTTAACAGATGGTGAGGGAGGCAGGCCACAAGAGGACCCGCTGACTCCAGCTGATAGCCTAAATATCTGCTGAAATTAGTTCTCACAATAGGTAAATAACTTTGATATGGATCATAAAAAGCTGACAGTAATTGCAAAGATCATAAGATGATGTTTAGATTTATACTTACATCATTCTGAAAAATCATTTTTGGAACCCATCACTTGTGTACTCTGGAAAGTCAACACATCTTCCCTCCCTATCAGATCAAGTTCAAACTGCTCAAATCTGTCAGTAGAGACAACTACAAACCGGCCCCATTCAGTTTCCCACATCTCATCTCCCCAACAGATTGCAGATTCCACTTGGATAGGTACCTTGTCTTACACTCATACATCCTGGGAGATATCCTGGTTAAAAACTGCAGCATCAGGCAAATAGGATGGTTTCTTAAGTCAACTAAAATTTTCTAAATTATTTGAGTAAATACCCTGTGCTTACCATAAAATGACTAACATTCATTTGAGCAACTGTTTTCATCTTGAGGTAACTCACCTGACCTCATACAAAGAAAAATTATAACGGCAGACGCAAATAGAAAATACTATGTTCAAAATGAGATATCAAATGATAAGGTATTTAAAAGTTGAGGTCAACCTCAGAACTGTTAATATACCCATTATAACCACAAAAATATAGGCTTCCAGTAATAAGTATTGTAGTCTTCTTCAAACCCTTTAATTCAAGAAAGAAGTTGAAAGGTTACAAAAAGTCAAAGGTAATGAGGGTAGACTCACCTCAAACTAAATCCAGGTTGTCTAGAGATTGAAGTCATTTGTTCCTGATTGATACTGGGAATTCTCTCTCACTCCAGGTATTAACACTTACTGGAATTTATAATAGGTAAGTTGAAACTAACAGCTGACCCTTCTTTTCACTGAGCTCCTAGCTATAGGCTTAATTATGACTGTATGAATATATAATTTTCGTTTGTAAGAGTGATACTCTTCATTTGTGATACTTGTGGTACAAGTCTGGGCATTATTTTAAGAAAACCAAGTGTCTTAAATCCATTTTAGAACAGTTAAAACTTCAGTGTCTACTGGAAACATTTGCAGAGGCAAGAATTTGTCTTTCAACACTGTATTTGATATTAAATAGAAATGTATTTCCCAAGGCTAAATTGAAAGTTGCATGCTTTTTAAAATTCAGCTGTGATCTTTCCTAAATTCAGAGTTTCTCCATGTCTCTCTCCTCCTTCTGGATTCATTCTCCTTACTGAAATACATTCTTTGGTAGTTCTTTCATAAAATATCTATGGATAATAAACTCTCTTAGTATTTTCATATCTGAAAATTCTCCTTACTCTTAATGATAATTAATACACCATGTGGACTTTTGGGTCTGTACAAAGTTCATCAAAATTTTCTCAACATTTGATAGAAATTAAAGAAATGCAAACCAAGAAAGATTTGAGGTATAACTGTATATATATATATATATATATATATATATATATATATAAAACGCAAAAAATTAATACATGAGATTATAGTGAAATTCAAATTCAAACCTTGGATTTGAATCAGCAAAGTTGTCAACCTTGCTGACAAATTCCTTCAATTTTTCTGAAAAGTAATGTGGCAACATAGGTGGTAAAACCAATAATGTGTATTTCTGAAATCTAAATTAACACTAGTTTGGGGAGTTGAGGCTATAATTGGGAATAACTTGGGAAATAATTTTACAGAAGATTAAAGCTATATGCGTAAAGTTGTTCATATATAATAGTAAAAAAACAGAAACAAGTTAAATGTCTTTGTAAGTAATACTCTTAAGTTTCAAGCCACAATAATAATGGTGCCTTGTTGACACATAACAGCATGGCTTATAGGGGTGACATAACCCCAGAACTGGAAAGTGTTAAGGTATAAAGCATTAAGTTGCTTTGTCATTATCAAAGCAACATTAACCTCTCAATTATAATTCATACCCTGCTTTTAAGAAGACTGGGGTACTCTAACTCTGCTTCTATTGCTCCTAATACTACCCAATTATTTCTCTTATTCTCAAGTTAAAATACACTCAAAAAGAGTATCTGATTATTTTTGAATATTTACTGTGTTAATATTGGGGGTCTTTGTTGAGCAAAGTGTTTACGCAAGACTACACCATAAATCTCTAACCAAAGTCCAGTGCCCACTGCTGTGATCCAGTTAGGAGTAGTAGCAAGGAGAGCAAGGTCATCTGATACATTTTTCCCTCAATCTTGAGGTTACATTCTTTTTGCAACCTAAAAAAATAAAACTAAAAGTTTCTTAATGAACATCACTTAATACAAGTTGCCCTTAAATGTCCATTTTTAAAGATAAAAACATGACTATAGTTTGTTAAGCGTAATTCATTTGCAGAGAGACTTCTGAAATTAGGAAAGGTCATAGCCCAGCAGAGAGAGACTCCTGAAATTTCATTCATTCATTTCTCATTTCTTGGACCTTTAAAAATCTGTTTCTGATATTAATCTTCAAACTAGCTATAGGAAAAGATAAACACTTATGGAAAAAGGATGCCAAAAGAGATTTGCTCAGACTGTATCAGATAAAGACATATCTAGAAAAGAGTTGTCCATGTTGTGCATAAGCAAAATGAAAAGAAAATTTATGAAAAACATTGAACATGAACAAAACAGAAAAAAAAACCCACATAGCAACGGTGCAAATCTAGTCATCAAAGAAAACAGTAACACAGAAAGGAACATAGCACGCCAAATGCAATCTGGAAAATGTAAGAAGAATAGAAAAAAATGGAAGAGTTCTTTGTGCCAGCATGTTTATTATAAAACAAGAATTTATCACACAATGATAAAACAACAAAATGAGTTATGTGAAAGAGAGATGGTAGAATTTAGGAGACAAATTAAGACTGTATCAGTCAGGGTCCAATCAGGAGCCAGAAACCATACTAGTTATTTTAACGGAGGGAATTAAAGAATTGTTAACTGCACACGGAAGAATTGAAAAGGGAGATGAGGTGTCGGCCAGCCAGCTGGCACTGGCGTCCTCCAGGGGCTGTGAGGAGGCTGCTTCTGCAAGTGTTAACCGAACTGTGACTGCAAACTGGACTGTGTAAATTGTGTCGCCACTGGGTCAAAGTGACACGGCCAGGATGGAGAAATGAGGCTGGGGTGCCACTGAAGAGAGCAGGAAATCAACAGGAAAGAAGAAGAAAATCCCTTCTCTCACCCCCAGCCTTTTCTTCTCTCTCTGACACTCCCTACTGGAAATACATAACAGAGAGAGACTGGCAAAGCAAAAATGTGGTTTGCATGGTCCCAGCCTCAGCATCACAAAACAAGAGTACAGAAGAGGGGGTGTGGAGGTAAGAGGCGATATTTGGTAACTGGCACAGGGCCCAAACAGTAATTCCAAATTTAGTTATTAATTCTGTCATGACAGAATTAATAACTAAATTTGGAATAGCAAGAAACAGATCTAAGGACAGGGTCAAAGTTTATTTTGTTCCCCACTGTACACACCCAGGATCTGCTACAGTGCATGGCCCATAGCACGTACCAAATAAATATTGAAATTATGAGTAAATGACTGGATGAATAAATTAATGAATCCTCACTGCCACAGTGGACCCAGCCTGAATGGTTTTTGTTAAGGTATCGATTTTCTTTTTTTTTTTTTTAATTTCAGTTTTACTGAGAGGTAAACACACAATTGATTGTAAAACTAAATTGTTTCAACTGCTTTTTTTCTGGTTTCTTTGAGAATGGCTTCTCATGTTGGTTGGCATTATAGCCAGCAGACTAGCCACCTGGTACAGCTGACACTGGGTAGCTGAAATGGACCATATCAGAAACTTGGTCCTCCGTACCAGGAGAGACATAGGAAAAAGGGAAATGCTTAGTGTCTGACCATACCGTATAAAGTGTCCTCATTCTACATCATCAGTGGTGAATCTTACTGATAATTCAGAATGTACTTCAGGACTTTTTCTGCGGGTTTTTTACTTTCATTCTCATCCTCTTTCCTGCCCCCCGCCCCCGCATTGTGATTTGTACTACTCATTACTATCCATGGTACCTTCTTGTTCTATATAACATTAGTGTATCTTCCAGGAGGAATAATAAACAATCAAGGGCTTCTCTTATGGAATTTTTCATGTGTATTTAAAATTTTTTAAAAATTGAATTGTTGTTCAAGTACAGTTTTCTGTCTTTTATTCCCATCCCAGCCCCACCCCCACAGCCCTCCCACCTCCCTTTCATTTCCATCCCGAGCCCCTAGTTTTTGTCCATGCGTCCTTCAAACTTGTTCCTGTAAACCTTTCCCCTTTTCCCCCCAAATTCCCTCCCCCCTCCCCTCTGGTCAGCCTGTTCTCTATTAATGTGTATTTTTAAGTCTTGGGAGGTTTTGTGTCATTCCAATCCATCCTCTGTGTTCAGGTTCAACTGAGTACATAAATTGTCACAGCAAAGCCCTGGCCAGCATGGATCAGTTGGTTGAGTATCATTCGGCAAAGCCAAAGGTTGCCTGTTTGATTCCTTGTTAGAGCACATACCTGCGTTGCGGACCTTGATGTTTCTCTCCCTCTCTTTCTCCCTACCTTCCCATCTCTTTAAAATAGGTAAATAAAATATTTTTAAAAACTGCCATAGTTAAGAGAGTACTTTGTTGTTTCATATTGATAACTTTTCATTGTATAGAATCTATTGAGTGTCAGGACCTATTTCTTCACCTGTTCAGAAGAGAGCAAAACAGAAATCATAGCTTTTACATTTGACTGTTTTTAACCTTCTTGGAATTCATACAAATCCTGTTGACTCTGCACCTGAAAGAAACAAACATAAATCAATGTTACTTTTTACTTGAACGTTCTTCTTCGGCAAAGATGTTTTGAACTAAGCTGTTTTGACATGAATAATTAATGACAGCAGAATATTTGCACAAAAAGTCATTGCACTCAGATATTCAGTTGCATATTAGTAAGTGTTAATTTGAGGATAAAAGAAGGCTAGTAAGAAGAAAAATGAGGATGGGGGAGAAGAGGAAGAAATATTTGGATACTTTTAACAACTTCTTCTATCATAATTATTAGATAACGACACCATTTCTGCTGTGAACCCATTGCTACTTAGCCATGGGCAGTCAGCTGAGCCCACCCTATACCCCATCTGCCCAGACCTTGGAAGCCAAGTTGCAGCCCATGTTCACTAAGGACCTGCCAAGCTGAAGCAGCACAAACATACCTAGAATCACTGTCCACTCCTTCCCTTTGACTAGTGTTCTCTTTATTATTTCTGTCCTCTGTTCTTTCTAGAAAGAACTTTTAAAAACTTCCCCTCTGGTCCTTGGAGTTTTAAATGTTGGCAAGCATAGGTATTTAGCCTTTCGGGGTACCCTGCCCTAAAGTCTTGGGTGGACAGTGTGCTACTGCACCTGTCTCTCAAGGTTGCCCAATGTTGCCTTACTGGTGAAGGACAGACACTGGCATGATGATGAAGGGTTGCTTCTTCAGGCCCAGATCACCTGAAGATACAGTGATCACTCATGGTCTGAGGATCCTCGTGTCAGAACTTTAGTAATAAGCTATAGCTCGCCTTTGAGGGCAAGGACTCCATTATCTTCACTGCTATATCCCCAATACCTAGAATGGTGCCTGGAACATAGTGCTGAATAAATGTTATTTCTTCTCTCTTAATTTTATTCTTTTACTAGTAGATTTTAACTTGCGTATTCTAGTTTAGTCTAAGAGCTTCTTGAAATGTGGGGCTATAAGAAAGCTATCTTCTAGAGAACTCATAATTTTTTATATTATATATCAAATCCATGAGCTTCCTTGAATGGTTGTCAGTTATTGGACAAAAAATATAAAGAAAATGAAGACTTCAGTGTTATGAAAAATTTATTTTAAAAATTGTAGCAGGAAATAGTGTTTAAAATGTTGACATATATATAACAGTTCCTTAAAAGATTAAACATAAAATTCCCATATGAAATTCCACTTCTGGGTATATACCCAAAAGATTTGAAAACAGAGACATGAAGAGACATTTGTAGACCAATGTTCATAGCAGCATCATTCACAATAGTCAAAAGGTGGAGGCAACCCAAGTGCCTGTCAACAGATGAATGGATAAAAAATGTGGTACACACATGCAATGGAACATTATTTAGCTTAAAAAAATGAAATTTTGACCCATGTTCTAATATTGATCAACCTTGAAGACACTGTGCCAAGTGAGATAAGTCAGTCACAAAAAGACAAACACTATCTTTTCCACTTACATGGGGTACTTAGAAATAGTTTAATCATAGAGGCAGGAAGTAGAATGGTTGGTGGTTTCCAGGGGCTGGAGGCAAGGTGGAATAGGGAGTTCTAGCTTCATATGCACAGATTTTCAGTTTGAAAAGATGAAGAAGTTCTGGAGATGGATGGTCGAAATGCTTCACAATAATGTGAATGTATTTAATATCACTAAATTATACACCTAAAAATGGTAAAAATGGTAAATTTTAGTATACATATCTCACCACAATAATAAAAAGTAAAAACGCTAGCAAAAATTCTCAAAGAACTTTGGTCATTAGAAATCATCTCATTTGATATTGCTTTACAAATTTAGCTTTGAACTATGAGTAGCCTGTTTTGCCAGCTCAGTGGCTCTCAGAGTGTGGCACAGGGACGCATGGAGGGTTCCAATACTTTTATGGAAAGTCCATGAAGTCAAATTATTTTCATAACAATACTAAGATGTCATTTGCCTTTTTAAAAAGCATTCATTCTCTCATGAGTGAATATTGAGTTCTGCAGAGGTCAAATGCTTTGCGTTATCACACAAGACTGAACGCAGCAGCAAATACGAGAATTCAGCTGTCTTCTCTTAAGCCAGACATTAAAGAGGCTTTGGAAATTTGAAACAATGCCACTCTTCTCATGAAATTTTTTGTTTTGGAAAATATAATTATTTTTATAAAGTGTGTTATTTATGTTAACATGTAAGAGTTATTATTTTGAATAAATTAATAAACATTTAAATTTTTTCTTCACTTTAATTTCTAATATGGAAAATAGTGATAGATAAAACCCTCATAAACAAAAATTCATTGGGGTTCTCAATCTTTTTTAAGAGTATAAAGGTCTTGCCCTGACTGACATGGCTCAGTGGGACAGAAAGATTGCCGGTTTAATTTGTGGTCAGGGCACATGCCTGGGTGGAGGACCAGTTCCCTGGTTGGGGGTGTGTGAGGGGCAACTGATTAATGTTTCTCTTGCACATTGATGCTTCCCTCCCTATTTCTCCTTCCCTTCCCCTCTCTCTAAAAATAAATAAATAAAATCTTTTTTTAAAAAAGAGTATGAAGGTCCTAAGATCCAAAAATTTGAGAGTTGCTGGTCCAGTTGCTAGGGTGATCAGACTAATCTCATTAAGATTCTAGAAACTAATATTCTATCCTAAAATCCTACTCATTACTTCAGGTTAATCAAGGATTAGCCAACCTCTTCTAAGTTCAGATAAGCCAAAATGTCTGTGAATGCAAACAGTTGTGTCAAGTGTGGGTTAAGTAGCACTTGCTGATAAATAATTTTGAATCTGCACACTTCTGGGTCTGACTTCATTGCCGCTGGATCAAAATTCATGCCTGCACACAGAGTGGTAATTGAACACCCTAACGTAAATTAGGGGTTTGGAAGAAATGGACTCTTTAATTGGGCACCTTATCTATTCTGTGGCCACTTAAATATAACCCACTAACTACAGAGTTCTTAGTCTACTTAGACATGCAATTTAAAATCCATTATCCAGCAGTATAATTTGCAAAAACTCTCTAAAGACTAGTTATGCAATAGTGACATCAGAAATACAGTCATAGTTTAAGATGGGTCACTCAAGTCTTCTTTTCAGTCTGTAGAGCCATGTTTTGCTTTCTGAAAGATCCCTAAGAAAGATGTTACTGGTTAATGCTGACTGAAATGAAATGCTGATTTCTTTTTATTTGCAGAATATCAGGTTCTTGTCCAATCACTTACTGGTATAATGGTTAAAAACATCAACTTGGGAGGCAGACAGACTGCATTCCAATCTCATCACAGATTTTTGCAGCTATGTCACCTCTTTACATCTCAGTTTACCTGGCAGTAAAATAGAGACACTAATGCCTTTACTGAGTAGATTAAATAAGAATTAAATGAAGTAATGGACAAAAAACAGCTAGCCCAGTTCTGCATCCACATGAAGCATCTGTTCAATATTAGCCACGATTTCAGATACTATTATTGGCCTCCACTGTGCTACTGAGCTAGTTCTCATTGGAAGTGAGAGATGCCAAAGGCCTTCATGTCATCACTTTTCCTCTCTCCTTAGGAAATGCAGAGACTGACAACATGAAGAACTATGGAAAGGGGAAAAAAGACACGTTCCTGTCTGTCCTCTAAAAGCAAAGGGCAGCCAACAGGATTGAGCCCATTCGTGCCTCTTGCAGCCCCATTTATCAGTTCTAAAACTAACGCTTCTGTCACATTGTGGCACTTCTGCAATCAGAGTATGTCATATGATGGATGGTACTGCAGTAACACTGAGGGGTGGTTTCTTTCTTAATTTGAAATAAAATATTACAAAATCTTCCAATTCATGGCATCTTAGAGTCAACGAAATACAGTAGTTGAGCTATCTACTAAAAAATACTAACAGTACCCAAATACTCCCCTGAAGTGCACCCTTTATCATTGTACTTATGACACTATTTTGTGATCTGTTCCCACAGCCCTCAGCCCAACACGATTATCTTCTGACACAAAGATGTCACTGCTGTGGGTGGGATGGCTGCGTGCAGGGGCTTGATCTCACCTTAATCCGCTCATGCTGTGAGTCTCGGAAAAAGTGTAGACAAAGGAAAACTATCTCTTTTTCTCAGAATCCAACAGTCTCTAATTACATAGTGTCGCTGTTGCTCATACTTGTTTCACGCACGTGAATCTCATTTACCCAGCTATGTAGAGTAAGCATCCCAAGATAAGGACTGCCTGAGTTGTTTAATTGTTTTGCCTCTAGTGCTGGTGCCATGGCACATACTTATTGATCAGTTGCCTAACGGTGGTTTTTTTTTACACTATATAAGGAGATACAGCCATATTCCTGCCAGTCTGATTTCCCTAGAAGCTTGGGTAGGGGTTTGTTTGAATACCTTAGGCTACTCTTATGGTTCAGATCACCTGAGAGCATCTCCCTTCACCACTGCTAGTTGTTAATGGACCTTTTGTCTGCTGTTCAAGATTGTCAAACCTAGAATGAAAGAATTGCAAACCAAGAGAGGGAGGAAAGGTACAGAGAATAGGTAGCGTGGATGATAGGTAGAAAATAGACAGGGTGAGGGTAAAATTAGTATGGGAAATACAGAAGCCAAAGAACTTATGACACATGGACATGAACTAAAGGGGGGAATGTGGGTGGGAGGGGGTGTGCAGGGTGGAGGGGAGTGAAGAGGGAAAATGGGACAACTGCAATAGCATAATCAATAAAATATATTTTAAAAAAAGAATTACAAGCCATAGAATCAATGGCACTTGGAGTAGCTGTTGCTGTCAGTCTACCTACCACTCATAGATCCTCTGATCCTTTTAAAAAATAGACTCTGGGGTCTATCTCCCCATTTCCATTTGCTTTGCTTCTAATGAAAGTGCTTTGCCATAATTACCCTGGGGACCATAGCCATTGGTGGCTGGTGCCTGAATATGAAAGACCAGCTCCTGCTCCTTTGCCTCAGGGCTGGATGAATCCCTAGGAGTAACTTGTGCTCCAGAGCTCCCCCCAGGGTCAGTCCACCTGGCAGTACTTGGCGGAGTCATGCGGGTGCTCAGCCCCCATCCCCTCTCCTGCCCTACTTTCCCTACTCCCTTTCTCAGGGTGTCAGTGAGGCAGTTAGGGTCTGGATTTGATAGTGTCTGGGTTTTAGCATAAAAATAACGGGAAAAAAGTTTTGTACTCCACGATTTAAAGGTTTACAGGTTAGTAAATCCTTGTCTTCACCCTGAGTATGTATTCTCAAACTCACAATGAGCAACAGAAAACCACCAACGAAGCCAGAGCCGGGAGTCTCCCCCGGCTTTGGGAAGCACCTCTTTCCTGAGTGGGATGACAGGAGCGGGAGACGGGAGGGCGGCGAACAGCAGGAACTGACCCAACAACATTTCAAGTCAGTTCTACTTCGTTTACAAGTGATATTTATGTAATTTCACTTTTTATGTTGTCTGGCTTTTTTTTCGCTGAACATCTTAGTGGCTTTTTGGAACAAAATCCATATACAAAAAAAGCTGACTAATTCCCTGGTGCTGGGCCACAGGCAGTCGATGTTTTGCTAAAATGCTACCAGATCACAACACAGAAATGTGTCCTCTGACAGGCTCCGATTCCTCTCTCACTGCATCTGGAAACTCAAAAAACAAATCTTGGGATCCATGCTAAAGAATGGAAGTTACACAGGGTTACACATTTGGCAGGCAGTTTCCTAAACTTGTTTCTGAATTTCTTTAAAGCTCTTAGGTGTGGTGAATGGGAGTGTAGCTGGTGGAAAGAACATAGGCCTTGAAGTGGGACTAAATTCTCCTTCTTATTCTTTTATGACTTTCAGCAAGTTGTTCAATCTTCCTGAATTTGCTTCATTTCTTCAGTAAGACTGGTAAAGAAATGAATGAGATAATATCTATTTGGTGGAGCAACTGTTAAAGGAGGTTGATCTGGACCTTGCTTGGGCTGCTGTAAATATTTTTGTCTTCTCATTCAAGGAAAGGAGCCAAATTTACCTCAGGGAGTATTTAATAGCTTTAATGTTGCAGGGCCAAAATGCAAAGTTTCCTGAGACCCAGAACACGCTCTTTGGTCCTTTGTTCTAATCTCAGAGGTGAAACAGTGGGATTGTCCCAAGTGGCAGGAGACACCAAGGGTTAGGAGAAGAAAAAGTGCACCAACAATAAAGAGAAACCTATTTGGGGAGCATTGTCTCATGTTTCAAGGAATATATTTACTGGTCTCAAGAGTCAGGGATGTGTGTCCTACTCCCAAGCAGTAGTTGGGTACCGGGCCTCTGATGGTGACTGCAGACTCAAAAGTGCACTGCATCTCAGGGGACAAGATGGGTGGCCACTTGACTTCAAGGTTTTCAATTTTATACTCATGGCCCAATTTTAAATTCACTTGCTCTGAGGTAGTGGAATCACCCACTCCCAAGAACAGGACCACCCGTAGACCTGAGTAACATGGGCTCCCACCGTGGGTCCCATACTTTCAGGGGTGTCCAGCTCACAGCCCACGGGCCTCACACGACCCAGAATGGCTATGAATGCGGCCCAACACAAAATTGTAAATTTACTTAAAAACTTTTTTTTGTTCATCAGTTTTCGTTAGTTTTTGTGTATTCAATGTGTGGCCCAAGACAACTCTTCTTCCAATGTGGCCCAGAGACGCCAAAAGTTTGGACACTCCTACAAAGGGTT